TCCTATGACAATGGCAGAGAAAGTGAATATTTGTGGACGTGGTGCCAATCAAGCAGGCTGCACTGTCTTGGATGGTGTCAGCTTACCTCGTGAGTCAGCAGCCTACTTGCTTCGAGCGGTGGGAGTGGTGAGAGCGCGAGGAAAAGCCAGAGCGGCCAGGTCTCTGGCACTGAGCCTGGCTCTGTGGCTCAGAAGGGAAGTGGGGGGAAGAATAGGAGAGCGATAGCGATAGGAGATTCACTGGTTAGGGGAACAGACAGGAGATTCTGTGGTACTGAGCGAGACTCCCGGATGGTATGTTGCCTCCCGGGTGCCAGGGTCAGGGATGTCTCGGATGGGGTCTTCAGGATTCCTAAGTGGGAGGGAAAGTAGCCAGAAGTCGTAGTACACATCGGTACCAATGACATCGCTAGGAAACTGGATGAGGACCTTAAAAACGATTACAGGAAGTTAGGATGGAAGCTGAAAGCCAGGACGAGTAGAGTAGTAATCTCAGGATTACTACCGGTGCCACAGGCTAGTGAGGCTAGAAACAAAGAGAGAGCGCAGCTGAACACATGGCTACAGAGCTGGTGTAGGAGGGAGGGCTTCAGGTTTGTGGATTATTGGGATACCTTCTGGGGACAGTGGGACCTGTACAGGAAGGATGGGTTGCACCTGATATCCTGGGCGGAAGGTTTGCTAGAGCTCTTCGGGAGGGTTTAAACTAGTTTGGCAGGGGGATGGGGTAGCCAGCATACAGACAGATAGAGGAAGCAGAGATCTATGAGGAAGGATAAGCAGTTGATTGGGCAAAATGGCAGTCAGTGCGACGGGTTGAGGTGTGTCTACTTCAACGCAAGAAGTATCAGGAATAAGGGTGACGAACTTAGAGCATGGATCAGTACTTGGAACTACAATGTTATGGCCATTACGGAGACTTGGATAACACAGGGGCAAGGAATGGTTGTTGGATGTTCCCGGGTTTAGATGTTTCAAAAGAAATAGGAGGGAGGTAAAAGAGGTGGGGGAGTGGCATTGCTAATCTGGGATGGTATCACAGCTGCAGAAAGGGAAGTCGTGGAGAAGGGTTTCCTCACTGAGTCAGTATGGGTGGAAGTCAGAAACAGGAAAGGAGCAGTCACTTTATTGGGAGTTTTCTATAGACCTCCCAATAGCAACAGAGACACTGAGAAACAGATTGGGAGACAGATTTTGGAAAGGTGTATAAGTAATAGGGTTGCTGTCATGGACGACTTCAACTTCCTTAGACTGGAACCTCCTAAGTGCAAATAGTTTGGATGGAGCAGATTTCGTCAGGTGTGTCCAGGAAGGATTTCTGACTCAATATGTAGATAGGCCGACTAGAGGGGACACCATATTGGATTTGGTGCTTGGCAACGAACCAGGTCAGGTGTCAGATCTCTCGGTGGGAGAGCATTTTGGTGACAGTGATCACAACTCCCTGACCTTTACTATAGTCATGGAGAGGGGTAGGAGCAGCCGTTATGGGAAAGTATTTAATTGGGGGAGGGGGAATTACAAAGCTATTAGGCAAGAACTATGGAGCACCAGTTGGGATCAGATGTTCTCTGGGAAATGCACGATAGAAATGTGGAGGTTGTTTAGGGAGCAGTTGCTACAGGTACTGGATAGGTTTGTCTGACTGAGGCAAGGAAAGGATGGTAAGGTGAAGGAACCTTGGATGACAAGACATGTTGAACACCTAGTCAAGAGGAAGAAGGAAGCTTACTTAACATTGAGGAAGCAAGGATCGGACAGGACTCTAGAGGTCTACAAGGTAGCCAGGAAGGAACTGAAGAATAGACTTAGGAGAGCTAGAAGGGGGTATGAGAAAACCTTGGCGGGTAGGATCAAGGAAAATTCCAAGGCTTTCTATATATGTGAGGAACAAGAGGATGGCCAGAGTGAGGGTAGGGCCAATCAGGGATAGTGGAGGGAACTTGTGTGCGGAGTCAGAGGAGGTAGGGGAGGTTCTTAATGAATACTTTGCTTCAGTCTTCACCTGTGAGATGGATCTTGATGTTTGCGAGGACAGCATAAAACAAGCAGATATGCTCGAACAGGTTGATGTTAGGAAGGAAGACGTACTAGAAATTTTGAAAAACATGAGGATAGATAAGTCCCCTGGGCCAGACAGGATATACCCAAAGTTCTTACAGGAAGCGAGGGAAGAAATTGCTGCCCCTTTGGCAATGATCTTTGCACCCTCACTGTCCACTTGAGTAGTACTAGAAGACTGGAGGGTGGCAAATATTATTCCCTTGTTCAAGAAAGGGAATAGGGGTAATCCTGGAAATTACAGACCAGTCAGTCTTACATCTGTGGTGGGCAAATTATTGGAGAGGATTCTGAGAGATAGCATTTACGATTATTTGGAAAAGCACAGTTTGATTAGAAATAGTCAGCATGGCTTTGAGAGGGGTAGGTCATGCCTCACAAGCCTTATTGAATTCTTTGAGGATGTGACAAAACACATTGATGAAGGTAGAGCAGTGGATGTGGTGTATATGGATTTTAGCAAGGCATTCGATATGGTTCCACATGGTAGGTTCATTCAGAAAGTAAGGAGGCATGGGATTCAGGGAAATTTGGCTGTCTGGATACAACACGGCTGTCCAATAGAAGACAGAGGGTGGTAGTGGATGGAAAGTATTCAGCCTGGAGCTCGGTGACCAGTGGTGTTCCGCAGGGATCTGTTCTGGGACCTCTGCTCTTTGTGATCTTTATAAATGACTTGGATGAGGAAGTGGAAGGGTGAGTTAGTAAGTTTGCAGATGACATGAAGGTTGGTAGAGTTGTGGACAGTGTGGAGGGCTGTTATAGGTTACAGAGACTGGTGGGCGTGTGGAATGCGCTGCCAGCAGTGGTAGTGGAGCCAGATACTTTAGAGACTTTTAAGTGACTCTTGGATAGGCACATGGAAGAAAGTAAAATGTAGGGTATGCAGGGTAGATTGATCTTAGTCGGATAATAGGTCGGTACAACATCGTGGGCTGAAGGGCCTGTACTGCTCTATGTTCTACGTTCTTGACTACAGTTGGAACTGCACTCATCCAGACAAGTCGGAAATATCCCATCAAATTCCAGATTCGTGACTTGTAAGTGGTGGACAGGCTTTGGGAAGTCAGGTGGCGAGTTATTTGCTTAGGATTCCAATCGTCCAACCTGTTCTTGTTGCCATAGTATTTATATGGCTAGTACAGTTCGGTTCTGGCCAATCATGGCCCTCAGGATATTTAGTCAGGGGTGGGGAGTGAGCGAGAGGAGGATTAAGTGATATAATGTCATTCAACATAAAGAATCAATAGTTAGATTCTTCATTGCTGGAAAGTATCATTGCTTAGTTCTTTTGTGGTAAGAATAATACTTGTCACTTCTCTGTCAAACCCAGATATTTGGAGATGGATTGCTGCACTATCTGAGGAGTTAAGAAAAGTGCTGAACATTCCCAATTCTGAGCTTATGATCGATTGAAGGTCACTGATAAAGCAGGTAAAAGATGTTTGAGCTTGGAGACGATATTGAGAAACCCCTGCAGCAATGCCATGGGACTGAGATGACTGAGCTCAATCAAGTTATTAAGCACAATCAATCACCTTGCTTGATCTCAACTGAAGTAGAAAGATTTTCTCCCCAATTCACACTGATTCAAGTTGTGATAGGGATCCTCGATGGAACTCCTCAGTCAAATGTGGCCTTCTCATTAAAGACATTCAGACCTCACCAATAGAGTGTAACTTCTTATGCCTATCCTTGAACCAAGGCTGTCACGAGGACAGGAGATGAGGAGCTCTTGTGTACTTCAAACTGAGCATCAGTGACCAAGTGAAAACCGAAAGAACTGCGGATGTTGGAAATCAGAAACATCAGAAATTGCTGGAAAAGCGCAGGTTTGGCAGCATCTGTGGACAGAAATCAGAGGTAACGTTCTGGATCAGTGAGCTAGTATTGCTCAGCAAGTATTGGACCTTAGACAATTGGACTCTTGATGATCTCTGATGAGTGTTGATGAAAGAAGTTTAAAGTGTATTTCAAATAGCTGGCAGAGACAAAATAGACCAAATAGCCTCTTCTACATTGCATATATTTTTATGCAACTTCTTCAGACATGTTATGGCACACCTTTGGAACAAGGAGACTTGAAACCGGTCTTCTGGCCCATTGGTAGGGACATTATCACTGTACCACAGAGGTCCTCTTCTTGTGCTGTACAATTTGACAAGTCACCATAATAAGTTTTCTCTGCTTGTCGATCGTACAATATTTAAACCAGATATTAGAGTCTTTAGTACAGTGGTCTTGCACTCTGGAGATTTTGGTGGTATGAATCTTGCTATCTTCCTTCCCACTTACAAAAGCTTCCTCAAACCTCTTCGTACATCTAATACTTTCGGTGTATTTTTAATTCATTTTTCTTTGTTGCTAAGCACCTTTCAAATACATTAAGCATACTCTAAATTGTTGACCATGAGTCTTTGTTGACAGGAATCAAAAATAGTATAGAATAGCTGTGTAGTTCATGGGGAAAGAAACACAATTGGTAGGGCTTTTTTAAGCACAATGATTTTTGCAAATTCTGTGCTTGCAATTTCCTGTATTGTTTGATCTTGGTCATTATGAAAGATTTTTCAATTCTTATCCATCATATGAAAGTTCAGTATTAGATTTTCACTATTAGCCTTTATCGAAAATTTACTTTTTCAAACTCTTCCTTTCCTCAGAAAGCTGCAACTTTTTAAAACCCAGAATGGTCATGATGCAATTATTGCTTCTTAGTTATTTTCTATTCCCCAATTTCATTCATGTTTGAAATAAACTTTTGTGCCTTTGTCTTTTGCATAACCTTCTCAAAACACAAAACTGGGGCAACAGAATGTATAAAAGAAAAATATTACTCGAATAGCTTCTACTTTCAAAAGGGATGAACCTCACATGTGAGATGGCATTCCTGCAATTGATATAATAAAGCAGTTATTCACTTGAAAGTGTACTCTTACTTGTCTGTCATACTCTTCTTCATGTTCCATCCACATGTATTCAGCAAAAGGATTGGCCTCACTTTCAGTGTGTCCATTGGATACTATAATCTCCTGTGCCCCAGAGCCTGGTGTGTTTGTCATATTAGGTGCCTTCATGTCCAGAGAATCAGTCTGAAATGAAGAACACAAGAAATTTGGACTGATCAAAAACAAGTAACATCTGCTTCATAAATAGCCTAAATCCATTACATTTACTGCACACTATGAAAATAGTGGGTTCACACAACAAGAACCAGGACATTCAGCACCAAGTGCCATTTGATGGGTCAAGTCCCCAACTGGAGCAGCAAGCAAGAAATATGAATCAATCATCAAATTAGAACACAACACCCAGATAGACACTAAAACACAATTTCAGAAGTTCGTTAATCAAAGTGACCTGTACTCATGCTATCCTGCCAAAGACAAAATTTTCTAGGCTGGTGTTTTGTAATACTATAGACCTTGTGACCTTATCCATACTTCCCAGCAACATAAGGTGCAGGGACATTTGTGATTTGGCTCACAACTCTTCTGACAAACTCACCATTTTCCTCAGTTGTTGAAATGATCAGAAGAGAAAGTTGTTCCAGGATAGTCACTAGAGGTAAAGAAACAAACGTAAGGGCTGGGCCATTGAAAAGATGACAGTTACAAACACTACCATGACAACAAAATCAAGGTGCCATTCCAAGCAGCAGACCAAGAAATAATAGCTTCTTTTTAAAATGAACATTTTTAATTACTGACCTTTCCAAATTTACTAGGCTGAGGCTAAAAAGAAAAGTGCTTTTACAGACTGTAGTTCTTTTGAAATTTCTCAACTTTTGTATACATCACTCCTACTCCAGCTGTGTTATCCACACCTATCCCATCCCAAAATATACTGAAATTATGTGGAACAACCATGTGTTCAGCAATCAAATCACAGGATAAAAGGGCAGGGTAATAAAAAGCTTAGTGAAATGATTGTTTGAGGCTATGATTCTTGACTGATTTTAGTTGTGCTAACAATCCACCACTTAACATCAGTTTTCAATAGGTCACCAGAATTGGCACCTCAGTTGTGTACAGTCAAGAGGAAGTGGCCCTGGGAGTCCTCAACTTGTAGACCACACCCATTGAAATCTCACAACGTCAGGTCAAACATGGGCAAAGAAATTGTCTGCGATCACCATCCACACACTGTAGTCTCCACAAATGAAGTTGCCAAAGTTCAATGTTTGTGTCTGGTTTCCAACAATGCTACATGCTACAAGACCAATCTCATTCACAACCTCTGGAATAGGACCCTAGACATCTACTCAGTGTGCAAGCTTGATGCTGAGTTACAGGGCATCAAAACTATTCTATATAATGATAAAATTATTTCTTGCTGCATATCGTGAAAACTCCCATAAAGGCCGATGTCCACCATTCCTGGCCCTGAACGGTAACCGGTCCAACTTAGATTATCCTGGAAAAGAAAGGTGTTTCAAAAAAATTGACTAAAGGTAATGATCACTGTCTCTCACTGCTTTATTTATTACAGTTTTTTGAGGACCTAACAAGCCGGTAGAAAAGGGAAACAAGTAAATTTAATCAGAGATAGTAAGAACTGCCGATGCTGGCGTCTGAGGTAACACAGTGTGGAGCTGGAGGAACACAGCAGGCCAGGCAGCATCAGAGGAACAAGAAAGCTGACATTTTGGGTCGGAACCGTTCTTCAGAAATGGGGAAGGGGTAGGGGCTCTGAAATAATTACAGACAGGAAGGGTGGGGATGGGGAAGGTAGGTGGGGTGATGTTAGGTGAGTGCAGCTAGGCAATGGTCGGGGTTGGTCAGTGAGGTGGGAGGAGTGGATAGATGGAAGAGAAGACAGACAGATCAAGGAGGTGGGGATGAGAGGGAGGGTTGGTCATGGAATGAGGTCGGGGGTGGGGAGAGTTTGAAGCTAGTAAAGTCCACATTGAGACCATTGGGTTGTAGGGTTCCAAGGCAGAATATGAGGTGCTGTTCCTTCAGTTTCCGGGTGGCGTTGTCATGACACTGGAGGCGGCCCAGGATGGACATGTCGTCCAGGAGTGGGAGGGGTAGTTGAAGTGGCTCGCGACCGGAAGGTGTTGTCGTTTGTCGCAAACCGAGGGCAGCTGCTCTACAAAGCGGTCTCCGAGCCTCCGCCTGGTCTCACCAACGTACAGGAGGCCACATCAGGAGCAGCGGATGCAATAGACCACATTAGCGAATATGCAGATGAACATCTGTCTGATGTGGAATTTTTTTTTTGGGGCCTGGGATGGAGGTGAGGGGGGAGGTATAGGGGCTGGTGTAGCACTTCCTGCAGTTGCAGGGAAAGGTGCCAGGGATGGTGGGGCTAGTGACGGGTGTGGAGCAGACGAGGGAGTCATGGAGAGCGCGGTCCCTCCGGAAGGCAGAAATGGGTGGGGAGGGAAATATATCCTTGGTTGTGGGATCAGATTGCTGATGGCGGAAGTGGTGGAGGGTGATGCGTTGAATCCGGAGGCTAGTGGGGTGATCGTAAGGAGAAGGGGGATTCTGTCTTTGTTTTTGTTGCGGGGAGGGTGTGAGAGGACTGAGGTGCGGGAAACACAATAGATGCGGTCGAGAGCGTTTTCAACCACTTGTGTGGGAGGTGCAGTTGCGGTCCTGGAAATACGAGGACATCAGGGATGTTTGGGAGAGGAATGCCTCATCTTGGGAGCAGATGCGGTGGAGGGGGAGGAATTGGGAGTAGGGGATCGCATTCTTGCAGGAAGGTGGGTGACAGAAGGTGTAGTCAAGGTAGCTGTGGGAGTCGGTGGGTTTGAAACAGACATCAGTTTCGAGGTGGTCACCAGAGATGGAGACAGACAGGTCCAGGAAGGAGACAGAGGTATCAGAGATGGTCCAGGTGAATTTGAGGTTGGGGTGGAAGTTGATGAACTGCTCGAGCTCCACATGGTAGCACGAGGCGGTGCCGATACAGTCATTGATGTAGTGGAGGAATAGGTGGGGGTAGTGCCAGTGTAGCTGCAGAAGAGGGACTGTTCCATGTATCCTACAAAGAGGCAGGCATAGCTTGGCCCATGTGGGTTCCCATGAACACCCCCTTAGTCTGTAGGACGTGGGAGGTATTGAAGAAGTTGTTAAGGGTAAGGACGAGTTCAGTTAAGCGGAGGAGGGTGTTGGCGGAGGGGGACTGATTGGGCCAGTAAATTTAATATTTGGATTTCCAAAATGCATTCAATAAGGAACTGCAGAGAAGGCTACGTAATAAGAGCACAGGAGTAGCATATCAGCATGGATAGAGGATAGAATCTTAGAATCCCTTCAGTGTGGAAACAAGCCCTTCGGCCCAACAAGTACACACTGACCCTCAGGGCAACCCACCCAGACCCATCCCTCTATAATCCACCTAATCTGCACATCCCTGAACACTATGGGCAATTTAGCAGGGCCAATCCATTTAGCCTGCACATCTCTGGACTGTGACAGGGAACCAAAGCACCCGAAGAAAACCCACGCAGACGCAGGGAGAATGCACTAACTCCTCACGGACAGTCACCTGAGGGTGGAATCGAACCCAGGTTCCTGGCGCGGTGAGGCAGCAGTGCTAACCACTGAGCCACTGTGCCACCCATAGGCTAACTAACAGGGGACAGAATTGGGCTAAAGGGAGCATTTTCAGGATGACAACCTGTATGTAGTGGAGTGCCACAGGGATCAGTGCTGGGGCCACAAATTTTTTTACAATATATATGAATGACTATATGATGCAGCAAGTAAGTGTAATAATAGCAGGTTTGCAGATGACATAAAAATAGATTAAGGTAAGTAGTGAGTATGACATGGAGTCTACAGAGATAGGGACAAGTTAAGTAAATGAGCAAAAGCTTAGTAAATGGAATATTATGCGGCAAAATGTGAGATCATGCACTTTGGCAAGAAATATAGAAGAGCTGAATATTAAACAAATGGGCAAACACTAAAATCTGCAAAGGGACTGGAGGCTCTTGCGCATGAATCACAAAAAGCTAGCATCCAAGATCAGCTGGTCATAGGGAAAGCAAATAGAATTTTAGCATTTAGTTCAATGGATATAGTGCAAAAAAAAGGGGAGGTCTTGCTAAAACTGTGTCTTGCTAAAACTGTACAAGTCAGACGACAGCTGAAATACTTTGAACAGTTTTGGTGCCCTTATCTGAGGCCATTTTGTACGCTGAGGGATGACCTTATAGAATATAAAATCATGAGGGGCATGGGTAGGGTGAATAGACAAGGTCTTTACCCCAGAGAGGGGAAGTCCATAGCTAAAGGTCATATGTTTAAGACGAGAGGGAAAAGATTTAAAAGGGATCTAACAGGCAATGTTTTCACGCTGAGGGTGGTGCATGTATGGAACGAGCTGCCAGAGGGACTGGTGGAAACTGGTATAATAAGAACACTTAAAAGGCATCTGGATGGGTATATGAGTTGGAAGGGTTTAGAAGGATATGGGCCAAATGCTGGCAAATGGGACTAGATTAATTTAGGATATCTGGTTGGCGTGGGCAAGTTGAACCCAAGGGTCTGTTTCCATGTTGTACATCTCTATGATTATGAAATGTACACTGGCATAGAGAGAATACAGAGAAGGGTGACCATGTCGATTCTGGGTATGGAGGAATTTTTGTTCTGAGGAGAGGTTGAGTAGGTTCAGTTTATATTCATTGGAGTTTAGAAGAATGACAGACGACTTTATTGAAACATAGAAGATTTTAAGAGGATTTGACATGGTAAATGCAGGGAGAATGTTTCCCCTTCTGGGAGGGTCTGGGACTACACCAGAGTAACAGAGTGCCCATTTAAGGGCGAAAAGGAGGAATTTCTTCTCACAGAGGGTTATCAGTCTTTGCTTTACTGTAACAGGCTTTCAAGGATGCGTCGTCAAATATAATCAAGACTGAGATAGAAAGATTTTTAACAATTAAAGGAATCAAAGACTGTGGAGAAAAGACAGGAAAGTGGATTTGAAGATCATCAGATCAGTCATAATCTCATTGGCGTAGACTCAATAGACTGAATGGCTTACTTCAGCTCCTTTGTCTTATGCTTTCACATTGTAATAAACTCTGGTGGCTTTCTCCAGTAACAAAATACTGCCGTAAAGCCAAACAGGTTTTGTTTATCACACAAATGAGTAATGTGATAGAGATAGTAGGAACGGCAGATGCTGGAGAATCTGAGATAACAAGGTGTAGAGCTGGATGAACACAGCAGGCCAAGCAGCATCAGAGGAGCAGGAAGGCTGACGTTTCGGGCCTAGACCCTTCTTCAGAAATGGGGGAGGGGAAGGGGGTTCTGAAATAAATAGGGAGAGAGGAGGAGGCGGATAGAGGAGAAGATAGGTGGAAAGGAGACAGACAGGTCAAAGAGGCGGGGATGGAGCCAGTAAAGGTGAGTGTAGGTGGGGAGTTAGGGAGG